TGACTGAGGCAGAAAGGGAAAAAAGCTCCATGAAACCCCTACAGGGGTTCAGCCATTCTCAGGACTACAGCCATTCTCAGCAAGAAGCAGATATGGAAGAAGAGACCTCTCATCCCTCAGCATCCACACTAATAATAAGGGGGTTCATGACTCTTAGAAAAGAGTTAGGCAGGAAAGTTAGTTAGGGGGTTTCCAAGTCTGCCTGCAAAGACACTAAGTCATCCTATCCTAGAAAGAGTCTGCCCTAATCCACTCACAATTAAGCAAGCGAAAAGGCATATTTTTTATGCACACAAAGAAAGTGGTAGGCAGAGAATTAGGTACCAGTTTAAGCCAGTCACTCGCACCTGCACAATAAAGATCCCAACGACCTTAAACTCACCCAAGTTTCATTATACCATCATTATAATATGATGCATATATATGCCCAGAAGTTCATTAATATCATTATAGCAGACTGAATTCTGGAAACAAACATGCCCAGAAAGCAAAATGATGAACCACTGAGTCCTGTCAATAAGACTGACAATCAAGGAAGCCCACTCCTCTAAGAAAAGTAACCACTCACAGCAAAAACAAGGAATAAAACCCCGAAGGCTTTGTAACCAGACCTTTTGAGCCACACTTCTCTTGCTCAGGCCTGCTTCCATGTATGGAAGTGTACTTTCCCCTCTAATAAAAATTTTCTTTTCTACTGTATTTCTTGGTCTTGCTCAATTCTTTGTTCAAGACATCAAGAACCTGGACAACGTGCCGTGAGAGGATCCCCATTCTCCGGTAACTGTATGATGAAATTTTTATAAGTAATCTAGACATAATTATTAAGAGCAAGTAAATTAAATAAATATAATTAGGATAAAAGCTTTTAGGTAAACTTTTCAAATTAGTTTCCCAGATCTTTTTGGTAACCTGAAACCATGAAGTTTTGGTAAGTTAAGTTAAATGATGAAAACTTATTAAATATACAGATCATTTATAAATAATAAAAAAGACTGAAACATTAATTATTAAATGTAAGTTTATCTTTTGGCTTCCTATTGCAGAAAAACTAAAGATAAATTTGCTCTATTAGTAAATATGTTTTAATGCCACACTGAGAAATTTTTTATAAAACAGCACATTTCTAGGAACTATAAATTTATGAATTTGCCAAGCCACAGAATATATAAAACACAGTTCATAATTGTTTACTTCTTAGTTTTTACTGGAAATTCTGGCTTTTAAAAGTTAAAAATTCTAATACATGTAATTGAAGCTACTGTTACAGAACTTAAGCGGTTCTTTTCGCCTGCACGCGTCAATAGCCAAAAAAGACATGAATGAGAGTTTGCAGCAAAGAAAGTAGAGGTTTACTTAAGGAAATGGCACCAAGCCCAGAGACACAGGTGAGCTAGCACTCAAAGACCTGGCTCCCAATGGCTTCTAGTGAATAGGTTATAGAGGGGAAAACGTATCAGTAATAGTACCTAAGGGAGTTGGGGTCATGGGCTCTCCTGATTAGTCGGGCGGAGGTAGAGGCAGTTGATCATTGCATCAGGTCCTGAAGTCAGTCATGGTATCAGTCTGCCTGGGTCATTCTGCCTTCATGTGTGTGGACCTGCAAAGATGTTATCTTTAGTTTGATCGAAACTCTGTTTCTCTGGTCAACTGAACTGAGGCTTTGTTTCTAAGATGTTAGATGCTGACCTAAAGCCTTAATGATTAAGGCAGTGGTCGTGCAGTGTGCAGAAGAATAAGGAAAAAAAATAAACAAATGAGCCCAAGGCCAGTTTGAATTAAGGAGAAGAAGAGAAAGAGTCATTTTAAAGAAGTGAAGATTTGTACCGTTACACTATTGGAAATAATAAAAGGGGTGTCTTCATATGAGTACAGTAGGATGTTTCTGGCTAAGAAAAAGTATGAGGAATGAATATGCATTTTTGTTAAGGGAAATGAAAGCAATTTTATCCTGAGTGTTTCAGAATGAGAAAAGAGAATTTTGCTTCATGTAATTAAGGTGGCTAAAGTTGAATTATTATAGGGTTTTTTAAATTAAGCTTTAATATCAATGGTAGAATTATGTAAAGTTAAAACAATTTTCTTCCATCCGCTAAAAGCCTTTTCTTTTTGAGTGATCTGCTGAAAAAGATTCTGTTTTATCAAAATTGTTTTATGTTGTTTTAATCTGTTCTTTTACTTAAGAAAAAGGTATCTTATTAGTAAAAGCTAACCTTCTGTATTTGTCTTTGATCTCTTTTATTGTCACTTTGGTCAAATAGATAATTAAGCATTGTTTCATAATAAGCTGCGATCCTTAGCCAAATGTCCAAAACTTTTCATATTTTTGACAAACTTCCCAAAATCAAATTCTAAAAGAAGTCTTTTTGACTCCGATTAACTTTGTGAATTCCCAGACGGCCTCTGGATAATCTTGAAATGTTTACCTCTCTCCTCATAAGAAGAGAAACGTTGAACTAATTAGGCTTATTTGATATGTTAAACTATGGGAAGCATTGTCAAATAAGAAGTAATAGAGAACCTTCTTTATATTGCATTTCTATAAGGATATGTGTTCCAGAAATTATGTAAAATTCCTGTAAGTCTGATATGTCCTAGTATAAGATGTCTGTGATAAAAATTGAGGCTCACACTAAAAGGAATGAATCTGAGTATCAGGGAAATGCCCTAGTTGATTTTTCATGCATAGCTGGCAACAATAAAATATATAAATTGGGACACATGTGGATGAAGTCCATTTCGCTTCCACAAATATGATCCCTCATTGCCAGACATTAGCCATCCTGATGTCCTTGTAACATGGTAACAGTCATACAAATTAAGATGAGTAAACAATGGCTATAAATTAAACAAATAGTCTGGGCTTTGGGAAACCAAAAACAGCAACTTGGTTCTTACAGTTCTCTCACAAACAGCCGCCCCGCCCTTTTTTTTTTTTTTTTTTTTTGCATTCTTTCATCCACTATAGTGTATTTAAGCTGGACTTCATTCAACTGCCACTTGGTCTGGGTTATCAATATGTTGTTATATGTATGTTTTCTGGATGAGCTGAAGCCTTCCCCACCACAAGGCTAATGCCTTCACAGTGGCAAAGAAACTATTAAAAAATGTGTTTTCATGCTACACAAGATATTCAGCAATAGACCGATGTCTACTGGTATATAACATTTTGTTGGTCCCTTGTTGTCATGAGCTAGTATGACCAGCTACTTTAATGTCTTTAATGTCTTATGCTCAAGCCTGTCTTATGCTCAGACAAGTTAAGGAAAATTTCCCAGACCCCAATTCAAGGAATCATGTTGCTTATAGTCTAGAGCCTTGTGACTGGGTATTCTGGAAGCTTCATGAGAGAAGCACAGCTCTCGAGCCCCATTAAAAGGGACCTTACCAAGTACTCCTGACCACTGACACTGTTGTAAAACTAGAAGGCATTGAACCTTGAGTATATATTTCACAGTTGAAGAAGGCTCCATCTTCTTCACACCAGCTAGAGACAGCCAAATCAAATTGACTAGAAAAAGAAGGAGCTGATGTGGATGTAGACTTCTGCCCAAGATGCCAGACCAAGACTTCCTACCATAGCTAAACATAAAACCCTTCCTTCTTTTCTTTCTTTCCTTTACTTTGGCACTGGCCTAGAAAGATAATGCCATCATCCATATCTCCCAGGCCATTGCTAAGTGGGGAGCATCTTTTCATGTGTTTATTGACCATTCATATATATATTCTTTGAAGAAATATTATACCATTTTGGGGTCTGTGGTCTTTTCTTTAATCTCTGGATTTTAGAAAAACTTTTTTATTTCTGACTACGAGAAAATTTGACCCCTGCTTTGAGTGAGTAATTGTGCCTGACAGGATTTATTTTTGTCTGTGGTGGTCATTGTTCTCCTTGGGCCTATGAATATACCTATATTGCTGGCATACAGATGCGCAATGCCTCTTATATTATCTAACTGTGCCCCTAACTGTTCTAGAAAGGACCTACCAGGAAGCGTCCCATGATTCAGAGTTTGCTAACTTTGACAAAGCCATATTTTCCTGGTTAGGAAGAGATAACAATGAGAATACGATAAGAAACCCCTCCTTAACTCTTGGGAGACATTGCAGATTCCATTGCTAAGGCATTAACTGCCCAGCAAAGATCCTTAGACTCTGACCAAAGTTGATAATAGAATAGACCTTGATTTTCTTCAGCTGAGCAAGGAGGTGTCCGTGTGTGATCATCACCTGGATCAATACTTCTGGGGAAGTTGAAATTTAGTTACAAAAGATCATTAGCAAGCCATACCGAGAATCAACAGTGCTATAGAGCAGTAGCTGAGAGTAGCACTAATGCCTTAATTTTTTAACACATCTCTCAGTTAAGCTGAGAATATGATCAAAAGGAGGAAATTGTTAAAGAAAAAGCCACAGGTCCAAAAATGGCATCATATTTCTTCAAGAAACATATACAGATAGCCAATAAGCACATGAAAAAGATGCTCAACATTATTAGTCATTAGGGGGATGCAATCATAACCACAATGAGATATCACTTCACACCCACTAGAACGATTAAACTAAAAAAAAAAAAAAAAAAAAAGACAGACAATAACAAGTGTCGATGTAGATGTAGAGAAACTAAAACCCTTCATTCATTGCTGGTGGGGTTGCAAAATAGTGTCAGTGCTCTGGAAATATTGGAAAATGATTTGGCAGTTCCTAAAAATGTTAAACAGAGTTACCATATCACCTACTAATTCCACTCTAAATCTATACCCAGGAGAATTAAAAACTATGTCCACACAAAAATTTTTATGCAAATCCTGATAGCAGCATAATTCATAACAGTCAAAAGAGAAACAATCCACATATCCATCAACTGATGAACAGATAAACGAAATATGATATATCCATACAATCAAATATCACTTGGCCAGAAACTGAATTGGATTACTGATACATGTAACAATATGCATAAACCTAAAAAAGATCATGCTAAGTGAAAGAAGTCACTCACAAAAGTCTATATATTCTGTGATTCCATTTATATGAAACCCCAGAATAGACAAATCTATACAAATATAGAGGAGACCAATGATTGCTAGAGGCTGGGGAGCAAAAATTAGGAATGACTACAAATGGGTACAGAGTTTCTTTTAGGGGTGATAAAAATATTCTAAAATATTGGTGATGGTTCCATATCTCTGTGGACATATTAAAAACCACTGAAATGTACAAATTAAAAGACTGAAGTTTATGGTACACAAATTATCTCAAAGTTGTTATTTAAAAACAAACAAACAAAAAACCTCTGACAAAGAAAACTGCAGGTCCAGTTGCTTCTGTAGTAAATCTACTATGAACTTTTAAGGAAGAAATGATACTAATATTACAGTAGTAGGACAAGAAAGGAAAGTCCTCAGTCTGAAAAAAGCAACTAGCCTATGACTAACACTGTACTTAGTGGTGAATAATTGAATTCATTCTCATTAAATTATATCTTGTTCCAAAACAAATTAAAATGCATACAGATTACAAAAGTATAAAAATATTTACAAATCGCACTATTTAATATATAAAATATTCTAAGTAGTCTTCAAAACATCTAATTGAAGTAATACATGAAGTTAGCAAGGTGGAAGAATACAATATTGATTACTATAAATTATATTTCTATATAATTCCAACAAACAATTAGAAATTAAAAATTTTTAAATATCATTAAAGACAGCATCAAAGATTTAAGGATAAATCTCACAAAACAAGTTTAAGACAAGTATACTAAAAATTACAAAACTACAAAACATTGCAAAGGAATATTAAAGAGCTAACAAAATGGAGAGATAACACTTTTCATGGATCAGAAAACTCAATATTGTTAGATGTAAATTTTCTCCCAAATGATCCATAGATTAGAGGCAACCCTTATAAGCATCCCTCCAGGGTTTTAAGAAAAATTATTAAACTATTTTAAAACATATAGAGAAAGAAAAAGAATCTGTAATAGCCAAAAGAAAAAAAGAAAAAGTTATTACACAAGTATATTAATCAAAATAGTGCACTATTAGCATTAAGATACATACTTAGAGCAATAAACCAGAATGGTGTTCAAAAATAAACTTATGCATATATGGTCAATTTATTTTCAACATAGATGCCAAAGCAATTTAATAGGGAAAAGATAACCAGTACAGCAAAACAATGCTTTTAATACTAGATCTTCAGCTGCAAAAAATAAATCACAATCCATATTTCATATCATATATAGAAATCAATTGGAAAAAGTCAAAGATCTAAATGTAAAACCTAAAACAATAAAAGTTCTAGAAGAAAAATATAGGAGAAAATCTGAATGACTTTCACTTATGCAAAGAATTCTCAAATAGGAAGACAAATGGAATTTAAAAAGAAAGCAAATGATCAATTGGATTTCATCTAGATGAAAACTTTTGCCCTTCAAAAGACATTATTAAGCAAAAAAGACAAAACAAAACAAAAAAAACGGCCAACCTCAGTTTTGGAGAAAAAGTTAAAAATTTCCAAAACTTGTATCTTATAAAAGTCTTCTATTTAGATTGTATTCTCAACTGAATTATAAGATTAAAAAAAAAAAAA